GAAACTTCACTTTGACGGGTTTGCGTTTTCGATGCATTGTGTATTTTTTTTTTTAAAAAAAATTATGGATTCGCTGTCTGATGCAGGAAGTCAGCTCGAAGCCAACAAGAAAGCCATGTCCATCCAGGTTTTTCTACACACGCCTATACATACATACACACACACACACACACATATATGCGTATATATATATGTATTATTGTTACGATTATTTACTGATGAATGAACGTTGTATGGTTATGAAGTGCAAGGTGTGCATGCAGACGTTTATATGCACAACGTCGGAGGTGAAATGCAGAGAACATGCGGAGGCAAAGCATCCTAAATCCGATCTCTACACTTGTTTCCCTCATCTCAACAAATAAAACTTTTTTTTCACCGCATTTTATTTCATTTCTACCGTTGGTAAATAAAATATAAACCCGCTTTTCTACCGAAAGGTCACAGAACCCTACATCGTTTGGTTTCTCCCGAGCCTTTTCTTTAAAACCTACGATGATATTTGCCTTGTTTGACTATGTTGACCATTTCCACGAACCTTGCAATGTTGGAAAAATAATAAATGCAATAATAATAAATTTACAGTTAAAAACAAAATCATTTCGAGATTTTATTGCCTTGTTTTCCGGATTTCTCAGAATGTTCGAGAAGTCAGATTTGTGTATTTGATTGCATTTAAGCGATTTCCAAACTTGAAAATAAATTACCGAATTAAACGAATATAATTTCGGTGATTTCCAGAATGTGCAAAACCAAAGTTTGAGATTTTTGAATAATATACAACTGAACGGGTTGGGCCTTTCATGGGCTTGGGCCACATCCTCATCCACAACCCAACAAGCGCTTAGGACACAAAGCGACAAAGACCAAGCCCATGACTAAGTTCTCAAACATTCAAAATGCATACGTTATCTACCCATTTTTGTATGCTCATACGGTCGTACTTCAAAGCCCAAGTTTAGATAATTCTCCACGTAATTTCGGCTGTCTGAATTCAAACCAAAACCCAAAATATTCAAAACAAACAAACTAAAAGAAAAAATGCCCATCTAACTTTGACTCAATAGTTGCAATTATTTAAAAAAAAAAGGATCCAATTGAAAAACAAAATTACAGAATCAGATTCTGGTGCTGGAAGAAGACACGTGTCGAAAACAGGTGGGGCCCAAATATTTGTGATATACAGAAATCGTGGAGTAAAACCATCGAACCAGAGTCAAAACACACGCGAGTGGACGAGCGCGAAGGCTCAACGCCGGCGCAACGTAACCCTAATCTTCTCTCTCTCTTCGTCACCGTTTTTCTCTCTGTATTTGGAGTTCGAGATCCGCCGATCCATGGCGATGGAGGGTCGGTGGGAGAAGACCATCTTCCGCTTCCGTAGGATCTGGAGAAGGGTCGCAATCCGCCTCCGTATCCGTAGTACCGGTAAGTCTCCTCTGGCGATTCCCCGGCCATGGCGTTGTCTCTGTTTTCTGTGGTTGAATGGGCTCTGTTTGTTTGAGATTCGTGTTTGATATCATGACGTTCTGCTTTTTTTTTTTTACGATGATAGATTTTGCTTCTAGGGTTTTCAGAATTCGGATTCTAGGTTAGCGTGACGAGAGATGTGGGATTCAACTGTTAATACAATTTCGAATATATACTCAGAATGATCCTGAGGTTGTGTTTTGGAGAGTATCGCTTCTGCTGATATTTGCTCTGACTAAGTCAGTGGTTGGTATGGAAACTGATCTTAATGCTTGTAGTAGATACATGATGCTTCCTGTATGCTTAAATGTCAATACCAATCTTCATTGCTGCCAGTGTTTTAAGTATGGTTGCAGGTAATTGCTTCATCAGTTAGGTTAAATTTTTGGAAACCCCATGGCCATTCAACGCTTACTTTCTATCCAATTCCTGCAATCTCATGATTCATGCTCACCGAGCCTCGGATGAAGTTGTTGCTCCATTCCCTCTATGCCAATATATCCGTCAGTCGCAACATTTGTCTCGTTGTATTGTGTGGATGAATGGACATTTCAGTTCCATATGCAAAATGCATGGTTAACTCGAGTGACAGTTTCTTGTTTTTTCCTCCTTAAAAAAGGGCTGCTGAAGCTGAAGAAAGACGTGAGAACCAGCGAGTACGACGACATCCATATCCTATGGGATATGATTCATAAGAAAGAAGAGCTGGATCAGACACCGAGGAAAACATGCTCGAACCTGTTGGAATGGGCGAGGAGAGCTCCGAGTCCGAGTCTCCGCAGAAACTTTTGAAGGTCTTTTGCATCTGATTCTCTCTTAAAACCATATAAGCAGCCTCCCATGCTAAAAAAAGGTTGGAACTTTTTGCCATGAGTAAGATGGTTTGAGTTTTGATCATAGAGTCAGGGGAAAGGTTTGGGGTTTTTTCACTTACAAAGGCAAGATCTTTCCTTGCATGTTAAAGCTGATTGGTAAAAATATCACATTTTTACCAAGTGGGCCTCCACAACATTTTGCTACGATTATCTATGATAATCACAATACTGACTTATGTCATATGTTTGTGCATTGATAAGTGTGTTAGAAATGTATAAAAAAAAAGTAATAATTTTGAAAGAAAATGGAGTGTGCAAAAATAAAAAATAAAATAAAGAAAAGGAGGCGTGGCCAATCGGACCCGGTTTGAGCCTCCATCATGTCTCCAAAAAGTGCTATTAAAGTCTTCCTGGTTTCTTCAATGGTTCTCAGGAGACATTAAATATACAACATCAATTACTGAGCTTCTTCTTCTTCTCTCTCCTTTAATGTAGAGAGAGAGAGGGAGAGAGAAGAAGAAGAAGACAGAGGTCCAAAACCCACATGCTCCTCCTTTATTACTCTCACTCTCGACCATATAGTTTGTATTCTGAAACCTGTAACAAAGGCATGGCTTCTTGATATTCAGCCACGCCTTCTTATCTCTCTTTCTTATAGCTTGGTTTTTTTATGGTTGGAACAGGAATGTCGGATCTAGAGGCAAGAGTTTGAAGATGTTGAAGT